TGGGTCCATATTACCTCACTCAATATGATCTCTTCTTTTTTTCAAACTTTTTTATTATTTAAATTAGAAACAAGCTTGCTTCACATGTCAATCCCAGCTCCCTCTCCCTCCCGCCTCTCCTCATCCCCCACTACTACCCCACTAAGTCACACAGCTCCCCACACAATCCCCACTCCGTTCCCTAGGGAGGGTGAGGCCCTCCATGGGGGATCTCCAGAATATGTCATTTCATTCAGGGCAAGGCCTAGGCTCTCCTCCAAGAAACCAGACTGAGAGAGCATCCCTCATTGTGGGATGGACATCCAAAGTCCATTTGTATGCCAGGGATAAATACTGATCTACTATCAAAGGCCCCATAGATTACCTAGGACTCCTCACTGACACCCACATTCAGGGGGTCTGGATCAATCCAATGCTGACCTCCCAACCATGAGTCTGGGGTCCAAGAGCTCCCCCTTTTCAGGTCAGCTGTTTCTGTGGGTTAAACCAGCCTAATCTTGACCCCTTTGCTCATCAGTCCTCCCTCTCTGTCACTGGATACCAGGAGTTCATCTCAGTGTTTAGCTGTGGGTATCTGCCTCTGCTTCCATTAGTCACTGGATGAAGGTTCTGTTTCCCAGACTCTCTGTCAGTGGGATTGTAAGCTGGCACTCACCTGATCCATGTCAAAAATCCATATAGGAGTGAGTACATACCATGTTTGATTTTTTGTGACTGGGTTACCTCATTCAGGATGGTTTATTCTAGTGATGTCCATTTGCCTGTAAATTTCAAGATTCCATTGTTTTTCCCCTGAATGTGGTCCATTGTGTCAATGTACCACATTTTCTCTATCCACTCTTCAATTGAGGGGCATCTAGGTTGCTTCCAGGTTCTGGCTGTTATAAATATTGTTGCTATGAATACAGTGGAACAGATGTTCTTGTTTTATGAAAATGAATCTTTTGGGTATATGAGTGGAATTGCTGGGTCTTGTGGTAGGCTGATTCCCATTTTCCTAAAGAATCTCCATACTGATTTCCAAAGTGGCTGTATGAGTTGGCACTCCCACCAGCAATGGAGGAGTGCTCCCCCTTTTCCACATCTTCTCCAGCATAAACTGTCATTGGTGTTTTTGATTTTAGCCATTTTGACCAGAATAAGAGAGTATCTCAGCATTGTTTTAATTTGCATTTTGCTGATGGCTAGGGATGTGGAGCACTTTCTTAAGTGTCTCTCAGTCATTTTAGACTCCTCTATTGAGAACTCTCTACGTAGTTCTGTAACCTACTTTTTAATTGGATCCTTTGGTGTTTGGAGACTTGCTTCCTGAGTTCTTTGTAAATTTTGGAGATCAGCCCTCTGTCAAATGTGGAGTTAGTGAATATCTTTTTCCATTCTGTGAGCTGCCTTTTTGTTTTTGACTGTGTCCTTTGCCTTACAGAAGCTTCTCAGTTTCAGGAGGTCCTATTTATTAATTGTCGATCTCAGTGTCTGTGCTACTGGAGTTATATTCAGGAAGTGTTCTCCTGTACCAATTCATTCAAGGGTACCTCACACTTTCTCTTGTAAGAGGTTCAGTGTGGCTGGATTTATGTTGAGGTCTTTGATCCATTTGGACTTAAGTTTTGTGCACGGCGATAGACGTGGATCTATCTATATGATCTTTTCTTGTTCCATCCATTTACATGCAAAATTCATGAGTTCATTTTTTTTCTTCAGAGTTGAATAGTATTCCACAGTGTATCTGTATCACATTTACACTATCCATTTGTCAGATGTAGGACATTTAGGTTGTTTCCATTTGTAGCTATTGTGAATAGAAAAGCAGTGAACATGGATGAATAGTACCTGTACAGTAGGGTGTCAAGTTTTTTAGGAGTGGTATCATATTGTAGATTTATTTTTAGCTTTTGACAATTCTCAACACTGATTTTCACAAGGACTAAAAAACTCACCTCTGAATGAAAATGGGCCAAGACAGAAATTAAGAAAAAAAACTACTTTGTAGAATTTAATGAAAATGAATACACAACAAACCCAAACTTATGGGACACAATGATGGCAGTTCTAAGAGGGAAGTTCATAGCACTAAGTGTCTAAATAAAAGGTTGGAGAGCTCTCATAGAAATAACAGTATAACTAAAAAAAACTCTAGAAAATAAGAAATAGCACCCAAAACAAGTATATGGCAAGAAATAATCAAACTCTGTCTGAAAATAAATTAAATGGAAATAAACAAAAATAATACAAAGAGTCAATGAAACAAAGCATTGGCTCTATAAGAATATCAATGATAGACAAACCATTGTCCAAATTAATTAAAAGTCAAAGAGAGAGAATATCCAAATTAACAAAATTAAAAATGAAAAGAGAGACATGACAAATATTGAGCAAACTCAGAGAATCACAAGGACAAATTATAAGAACCTGTACTCAGCTGGGCGTTGGTGGCACACGCCTTTAATCCCAGCACTGGGGAGGGAGAGGCAGGCAGATGGATCTCTCTGAGTTCAAGACCAGCCTGGTCTACGGAGCGAGTTCCAGGACAGGCTCCAAAACAATACAGAGAAACCCTATCTCGAGAAAATAAAAAGAACCTGTATTCCACCAAAAATGAACTCAAGGGCATCTTTGGAGACTCCTTGACTCAAAATGTTGTGTCAGGACTTTTTTAAATTTATCTCAGTATTTTAAGTTTTTTTCAATTTTATTTTTGTGTTTCTTCCTTCTCTCATTTTTCACTGCAGTTCCTTCCTATGTAAATTAACTCTTCCAATTTAGTGTTTTTTATGAGATTCCTGAATTTGCAAACAAGCCCGTTTCTGTTTCTAGATCTTTCATTGGCCTCTTTTCCTTCTGTTTGTTTTGTCATATCAAAATGTGTTGGTCTTCATTTTATCTGGTTATATGTTGTTTTATTATTATAATAACTTAGAAGGCTGTTTGTTTTCTGATGAGAGACAGAACAGTGGTAGATTCAGACCTGAGGGGCGATAGGGAGGACTGGGAGGAGTACGTCAAAGAGAAACTATAATCGGGATATATTATGTAAGAGAAAAACCATTTTCAATAAAAAAGTATTTGTCAAAAATTTTTTAGAAAATAAATAAACATACAAAAATACTGCTACAGAGTCATAATTCTTTGGTGATCATATGAATTTCTTGCAACTTGTCTTCCATTCCATGATTGAATTCTATATTTTGTTTTCAAATGTCTGTGCATTTGAAACACTTCATCACATTTTGGTAATAACAAATTGTTAACTCTACTTTTGTTGCTCCTTTATCTTTTTCTCTTTCTTTATATGGCTAAAATGTTTCTTCAAGTCTTTCACTGCTAGCACACCCCAGTGACCTTCAGTATGCTTTTCTACTACTTTTATTTAATAATTCTTCATTTTTATTTTACATGTATGAGTGTCTGCCTGCATGCATGTTTGCATACCATGTGCATATTGAGCCCAGAGTCCAGAAGTGGGAGTTGGACCCTCTGGAACTAGGGTAACAGATGGTTTTGAGTCATCATGTTGATGCTGGAACTGAACCCACGTCCTCTGAAACAGCATCAAATGCTCTTAACCAATGAGCCATCTCTCTGGACCTGCTTTTCCTCTTCTTCACAAGGCATGTTGGCAAATCTTCCTCCATCCATCTTGCTTTGTGAATGATCTTGTTCACATCTCCATCAATTCCTAAGAAGCTATTAGATTAATTAATGATTTCACTCCAACCATTTTTCTAGTAGGCATTTACAGTTTCTGGTTTTAATTCATCTATTGCACCTTGATAAATGTTATTGCTGTATTTTCAGTACTGTGCTATTCCAGATTAAGAATGGCATCAGTTGTGAAATGGATACAATCAAATGCCAGGTATATGTTTGAGACTTTGACAGGCCAACAAGGCCCTAAACAATGAGGTTGTATTTGGAGGTAAAAATACAATGTCAGTATTTTCACTTCCATAGCAACAAATTTAGGATGGCCAGGTGTCTTTTCCATTATTAATGGGTCTTTGAATTCCAACCTTTCCTCCTCCAAGTAGTTCCTCACTTCTGGGATAGAGCTTTGCTAGAGCTATTTCATGAACAAGATGACTGTTATCCATGCTTCCTGCTTAATTTGCCAGAACAGAACAGGCAATTTTTGTTTTAAAGGATGAATACACAGTACACCTGCAGACATCACCTAGCTTCATCTTGTGCTCTGCAGCATTGCTGTATAGCACCAAAGTTCATCTGCAATTCTTCTTTTGCACTTTTGTGAGCATAGATCCCTTCAAACATCTTCTACCAGCCATGTCTGGTTTTATTGTAGTTGTAGGTTAAATCTTTTGTGGATAGCATCTTTTCTCCTTGATCAATGTCCTTCATTCAGCCAGATCTGTGACAAAACTTCTTAATTGGCAGTTAGGACACCCTTAGTAATTGTTACAGTTTCCTGCCCAAACTCAGTTCTGCATCGATATCCATCCTTTACCTGTAGTAAATGGCTTGGTCTTACTGATTCTTTGGGAAACTTTGCTGAAGATTTTGCATCATTCCAGTGCTGTCTTATGCTACCTATTGCCATCAGTTTAAAAAAACATTTTCTCTTTCTCATACAAAGGAAATTTCGTCTTAAACTAAGCACTTATCACATGCACATCATCTGTAACTTTTGTGATTTGAGGTGTGATGGAAGAATTACTTTAAATTTATTGTTCCTTTCATGACTTTACACATACTAGATTCACTCTTGAATCGTAGCAACCTTAACATATGTTTTGCTTTTTTCTCCCCTCTTTCCTTATATGGTAAAAAAATCAATGAATTTCTTTAAATATTGTGCCTTTTTTCTTTTTTCTTTTTGATGTATCTGAATTGTTAGTGCCTGAAACTTTGGAGCCTTCAGTAAGTATATAATACAGATTTATTAGCAAAAAGGTATCATATACTGCATGGATACAGTGAATGAATAAATGGTATACTTTCTGAACAGGACATTATGAACCTTTAAAACACTTCTCAAAGCTGTGTGAAATTTAAATGATATGTTTATTTAACATATTAATAATATTGATAATCGCATGCACATTTAGTATAATACAGTACAAAGACCATCTGTAATTTATTGCTTCATACACATTGTATGGCCCTTACAATATACTATGGTACAGTGTCTCCCCTTGTCTTTTATACTGTTATTGATTTACAAGTCAGAATCTTACAAAATAATTGATATTATAAGTCACTTAAATATTTGCATATCCTCGCTTATATGAGACAAGATATTGTACTCATTATTTTTATTGTTACTGTGACAAAATACCTGTCAAATCTACATAAGAAAGGAAGCACATATTTGGACTGAAGGGATGTAGCCTATCATAGTAGAAATATTTGGCAACAGAAGCCTGATGTGACTGGTCACACAGTTGCTGCATCCAAGAAGGAAAGAATAATGATCGCTGGTGCTCACCTTGCTCGTGTGATTTTATTTGACACAGGATCACAGCCTGTGGTGTGATGCTACCTACATTTAGTGTGGCTCTTGCCTGCTCAATTAAATCTCGGCAGAAACATCCTCATGAACAGGCCCAGGGGTATACCTCTGGTGATTGTGAATCTGGTCAAGTACACAATGATGATTAATCATCCCAGAACTTCTTATGTTCACCCCATGTCAGAACTGATCCTAGTGTTTTTTCGTTCTTTGTTTTGACTCAGATCATCATCTGGTATCATTTTGTTCTTTTCCATTGTCTTCCTCTTCCTTTAAATTCTTTTACATGATGGCTGCATTAATACTTTCAACTACTATCTTCAGGGGGAAAAAAGGATTTTGCCTTCATAGTTGAGTGATGTTTTATATAATAAATAATTGGATGATAACTTCTTTTTTTCTTTTGGTATCTCAAAGATTTTGTTCCATTGTATCACTGATATGTATACTGGTAAGTTTAGTAAAGCCTGGTCAATTTTTCGCCATTGCTTATTCAAATAATGTCCCTCTACCTAGAACTCAATTTATATGTATATTAGGTCTCTCACAGCTTTTCCACAGTTCACTAATGGTTTTTAGATTGAATTGTTGTTTTAGTTCCTGAACTTAATTTGGGTGAATTTCTATTAATCTATTGTTACATTCACAGATGCTTTCTACTTCAATTCTAAACTTATTGTTAAACCATATGTATATATGCTATATATGATACATATGTAATATGTAAAAGGTACATAACATTTTAGCTCAAAATTTTTAATTTTAGAATTTTTAATGTCTTCTCAGTCTTCACTTAATATTTCAGTTTTCGATGGTACCATTAAAACAACTGTTTTAATTTTATTCTCTGTCCATTTTCACATCTGTGTCAGTCCTGTTCTGTATTTGCTATCTGTTTATTCATCATAAGTCTAAACCTTTCAGCCCCTTTAATTATACCCAGTGTGTTATTATAAGCCAAATGGTTTATAGCAAGCAAGAATAAAAGTGGTAGCAGACATGGTCCATGGTTACTGTCCATTGATCTCAATGGCTCTTCCCACAGTGTTCTGCCCTGGACTTGGCAAGGCAGTTGTTCTCTGAGCCTCTTTAAAAAGATCACGAATCCTATCTGAGAGAGATCTGCTATCGATGACCTAATTACCTCCACAGTGACTCTGCCTCATAATACCATCATTTTAGGGATTCAAATTTCAACATATGAATTGGCAGGGAGTCAAGAATGGAAACATCCAGACCCCAATATTTTGTCATCTTCCTTTGATGGTTATACATCACATATTGCACCTTCCTAAGTGACAGATATCTTTATTTTCCTATGAATGTTCTCCATCTTTCTGTTGAGATATAATTTTGTTACTGGGAAACAGTTAAACCTCTTAGGGGTCTTGCTTCCAAGATTTGTTAAGAATCACCTTGTGTGTAATCCATGAATCATGATTTTACATTATCAAAAGTTATGTTTTCTACCCAATGCTTCATGAAACATGAGGCTAGATACCTGTGTAAGCACTAAATGTGCTATCTTTAGGTCTTTCAGCTAGTTATGTCTGAATATTGGATAGTTTTCTATAAAAGAACAGGATGACATATAGGTAAGCCTCTGCAGACCTCTGGATCCTCCCCCTTTCCATCTTATCTGGTGTTGTGTCCTGTGAGCACTATCTACTTCCTCCTTCCTGCCTTCTCAATATTATGTTTTCTTCATAGACGCTGTCTGGCTTCATCTCGATTCTCCTTTCTTACTTCATAACCCAGGCAATTTTCTGTACACTAACATGAACTAACCATGTGCCACCTTGTTTTGGTTCAGTGTCCTGAAATAATTGTTTCATCTGCTATATTCATTTTAGTTGTATGGTATGGGAAGTCCTGCTGTTCTGTTTTGATATTTTTAGAAGTATGAATATGCTTTGTCATTATTCCTATTTTAATGTTGAGTTTGGGAAGTAGCTAGTTTGAGTCTGGTGAGTGTAAAGGGTAAGAGTGAAGGGAGCAGGAGAGGTGAGGAGAGTATGTAAAGCAAGTGGTTAGGCATTAGGACAGGTAGATACCAGCTGCCAGGAGTTGACCCATGAGGGAAGAAATTTTAAAAAATGTAAGTATAAAAAAAATAAAATAAAGATCTTTCCTTATTTTGGTTCACTTTAAAACTGTAGGTAATGTAATTAAATTTGACTTTTTATGCAATACTTACATTTTGGTTTGTTTTGTATATTATACCTTACATAAACTTAACCACTGGTTTCTATACACCAAATCCTGCACATACTGTATGAATGACACTTCCTTCTGTCCAGTGTTCATTCCCCAAACTGGAAACATGAGGGCAGGAAGTACAGCACAGTCACTTTTGATTGAGTTTGAATGTGCCAAGCCCTGTCCCTCCTCTTGTGCACTGTAATAGTCCTGTCTATGTGGCTTATACCTCCCTTCCCTCTACACATTTAAGTCCTCAAACAGCTAGAATTAGCTATTGATATAGTCACACAGGGCCATATAAGAAATGAGTCACCAATTTGGCATTGCCAGAGCTATGAGCATCGTACAATAGTTCCAAACATCATTCTTCATCAGGATACTCCATCTTTGACCTAGGAAATCAAATTTTCAGAGGTAATTTTAGGGATATATGTTCTTAAATAGTCATCAGAGTGAACACTATTATTGACAGATAATCTGACTTTGTTCCTAGATAATTGGGGTAAATGTGGAACTTGACGTTGTTTGATTTCTCTCTCTTTTTTTTTAGAATAATTCAGTTCCTAAATCAAATTGATTTTATAATAAACCAATGTAGTGAAAAGAGTGACAGTTTGGATGACCATGTGAAAGTTAATATCCATACCTCTATTTCTATTTAGAAAGATGGAAATAGTTAGTAAATGTATATATTTTTTGAAGGAATAAACAGTTGAATTGTTGGAACCTCTAGCATTTGAAGAATTGATCCAACAGAGAATTGAAGGTGAAATATGCATGGCCACCTGCCTTTTATTTATCTTTCTATTTATTTATTTATTTATTTACTTAGTTGTTTATTATTTGTTTTTTTTTTTTGTTCTTCCTTTGCTATTTTCTAGGAATCACATCCCATAATTTGCTTGTAATAGAATGTGACTGCTTGGGAAATGTTCACAGAGTTGGCATTCATTTACATGCTGCTGCCATTTCAGCCCAGGGCACTCTCTCCTTCCTCCTGGTTCTCCTGCCACCCTCCCTCCAGCCTCCCCAAAAGAGCACTGATGAGATGTGACAACGGAAAGCACAAGTGCATTTCCTGGAAATTTACCAACATCCAGAAGGAAAGCTCCAAGGAAAAGGAACAATAGAAAAAGCAGAATTGTAGAGGGAAGAAAGTTTCTAAGGCTATCATTTGCAAATGTCAGCTCCCTTCTCAGTGAACTCCAGAGACTGTTAAGCAAACCTGTTTCTAATGAATGCAACAAGAGCTGTTTGAATCCTCTAGACTTGAGCCAGTCACATTTAACAGATCACCCAGTCTATCTTCCATTATCCTCAGAGGCAGTGTGGGCCTCATAGCCTCTTTTCAATTTCAGCTTCAAATGACCCAAGCTATAGGCTGTCTTGGCTTCAGTGAGATTCACTGGAAATAATGTCAGAGGGTTAACATAGGTTCCTTATTATATTACATAATTGCTGTGTACTTCAACCATCTTGTTCTCTTAACACAAGGGGTTTCAGCAGCCAATTAGTCTTCATTATTTATCAATAGGATCATGAAGGAAGGCAGCACTTAAATGTGTAAAGCTCAGAAAGAAGATCTTCTCTCTACTCCAGCATCTGTCACTGCTTCCCTCTGGTGAAATGCCTCTTTTGTTTCTGCACCTATGAAAATGAGAGAGAATTTCCTTTTACTATTTGCTTTTAAAAAAGGAAAGGATACATTTGGAAAGTATAAAGTAATGTAAAACCCGAGCTAATAGAATTGAAGGGCATCATGGTCTCCAAGCATGTGAGGTTAACTTTTTTACGTCATTATGGTTTTTGTTGAGTTGCATTCTTTATAAAAGCATATTCTGTTCTTCAGCATCACTTGACTGAACATGCTCATCATTCCTTCTGTTGACTGCTTCCATTCACAAATCATTCTTGTCATCCCAAATCCTCTCTTCTTTGCTACTATATATCTGATCTAGAGGGGTCCATTGAGCAAGAATATTAAATAGAGCACAGTGCTGATAAGATTCTCCATCACCTTGTTCCAAGGTCGTTACTTTTGTTGGACCCAGTTTGCATGCACTTCATCCTGTGCAATTATTAGTTCCATTATGATCTTCCTCTAATGTAGAAATTCTGATTAGAACCAAGATATTCATGTTCTTATTAAACTAATTATATTTTAATGGGATAGTTACTAGTAGTTGTTTTAATATTCTTGTTTGGTGAAACTTGTTGCACGTGTTAATGATAAATGCACGTCATCTTACAATGGACAGATTTAGGATGGACAATTTACCCAGGATCCTCATGTACTGATTCAGTCAAGCCTCATCATTTTAATTTCTTCAGAATCACATGAATTTCTGTAGTCTTGCTGGCTGAGCAGGACTTAAAAGAATCAGGTGTGATTCAGTTCATGTTTAGTCACTTATCACATGCAGGGGAAAACATGATTTGTGGTCATGGTGAAGGGAGGGGAGAGTAAAGAGAGAGAGAGTGGTGAGGAGAATGGAAGTTAGAAGAAAGTAGAAGAGAGGATAGAGGTATGCAGAAGAGGGGCATTGAAGTGTATGCAGAGCAATGTGAAGACTGTGCGTTTGCACGCTTGTATATTCGAGATGAAATACATTGACAGCAGGAAGACCTGTCTTCCTTTGCCCCTTTTCAACTCCCACGAGCAACACCTAAGCTGTGAAAAAAATAATCAGGAGCCAGATAGTTCAAATTCATCAGCAAACAGTGAAAAAGCAGGAAAGGACACAAGAGACGCATGTTAAAAATAGATGCAAGGACAAAGATCAAATGAACTCTAGTAATGCTTTTACATTGCAGAAAACAAAACTACCACTACTCAGTCTTGAAGTGTTCCCTGTTTCAATGTCTCTAATGGACCATGTAAATGGAACCAATTGTTATTTTCCTTAAGAAGTGATTTCTTTTTGTGTGTGTGTGTGTGTGTGATTTTTTTATTAATATTTTTTTATTTTCCATTTTAAATTTAGATAAGAAACAAGGTTGCTTCACAAGTCAGTACGAGGTCCCTCTCCCTTTCCCTCCCCTCCTCCCGTGCCCTCCCCCCCATCCCCCCCGTTATCCCCTCATTCCCCCAGGGAGGGTGAGGCCCTCCATGGGGGTGTCCATAGTCTGTCATTTCATATAGGGCAGGGCCTAGACCCTTCCCCAAGAGTTCAGGGTGAGAGTGCACCTCACATTGTTCTATGGGAGTCCAGAGACCGTGTGTATACTTGGGATGGGTACTGATCTGCTGTCCAAGGCTCAATAGATTACCTAGGCCTCCTCACTGGGACTGATCAAGACCCCCTGAATCTGGGTGTCAGTGAAGAAGTGATTTCTATCCTTTCTCCATGTATTTATTTTACGTAAGCCAAATTTATCCACATTAAGACCAATTTTGCACTTTGGTGAAGCAGGCAGAAGCAGCTAATTATCTATGGTAAAACAGGATGCATATGACAAGCTGGAAAAACAACTGATCTATCTGTAAATTCATCACTCCCCACTGTCTGACCTACTCTTCTTTCTTGCCGGTAAAGAACTGTGAAAACATATCTCACACTCTTACAACAACATCAAGCTACCTCTAGGTCTCTACTGGTTTGCGATTGAACCACAATCTAGGAACCTGGTCTTTGCTGTTGTACTGGAAAGAATTCTTTTCTTTATTTTTCTAGAAGTCATTTTTTGTATCTTCCCTGGCTAGCCTTTTCCTCCTGTCTCCTCCCTGAGCCCAGTTACCAGGAACCCAGACCTTCGTAAGGATAAAGAAGCAGTTTTCTTAGGATCAGTCCATAATGGTGTCTGCTGTTGCATCAGCTCTGTAAATGTCATGAGGTACCCCACCATCTCTGGTTCAAATTTCTCATATACATTCTTATAAAAAAGAATAACAAATGTCTTTGTTCATGATTTCTCTTTATGCAATGTATCATAGTATACACTTTCTGTTTTTCATGTTTAGATAGAAACTCATAATTTTATGTGAACTGCATCAAGTTGGAGCAGTATATTCATTAATAAGAATGAGAAAGTAGCAACATGGTATGTACTCTCTCATATATGGATTTTAGACATAGATCTGGGGAGTGCCAGCCTAGAATCCCATGGCCAGAGAGTCTGGGAAACAGAAACTTCATTCAGTGGCTGATGGAAGAAGAGACAGATCCCCACGGTTAAGTACTGAGCTGAACTCAAGAAAGCCAGTAACAGAAAGAGAGGACTGATGACCAAAGGGATTAAGACTGGGCTGGAATAACCCCCAGAAACAGCTGACCTGACAAAGGTTAACTCTTGAATCCCAGGCATCAGCCTGGGAATCCAGCATGGGACTGATCAAAACCGCCTGAATGTGGGTGTCAGTGAGGAGGCCTAGGTAATCTATTGAGCCTTGGGCAGTAGATCAGTACTCATCCCGAGTATACACACGGATTTTGGACTCTCATCCAACAATGTGAGATGCACTCTCACCCTGAACTCTTGGGGAAGGGTCTAGGCCCTGCCCTGTATGAAATGACAGACTATGGACACCCCCATGGAGGGCCTCACCCTCCCTGGGGAAATGAGGGGATAATGGGGGGGTTGAGGGGAGGGCATGGGAGGAGGGGAGGGAAAGGGAGAGGGACCTGGAACTGACTTGTGAAGCAACCTTGTTTGTAATCTAAATTTAAACTGAAAAAGAAATTTTAAAAAAGAAATTTGAAGTCAAATGGATGGAACTAGAAAAACAACATCCCATTTGAAGTAACCCAGACCCATAAAGACTAACTAGTATGTACTACCTTATAAGTGAATATTAGCTATAAAGAATGGCATACTATAATCCACAGACCCAGAGAGACTAAGTAACAATGAGGGCCGAAGTAGGTATGCATGGATCTCGCTGGAAAGGGAAAATAGAATAGATCTTGTGGGCAGACTTGGGTTGGGTGGGGATGGGAACATGAGGGATTGTATTGGGGTTGAATGGAGGGGGAGTGTAAAAAAAGAAAGGACTGGCAAAGGGGGGGCATTTTGAGGATCAGGTAGAAACATGAGAAAAGAAAAACTCCCAGGAATCTACAAGAATGACCCCAGCTAAGACTCCTATCAATGGTGGATGTATAGCCTGAACTGGCCATCTCTTTTGACCCAGTGAGACTTCCAGTGGAGGGACTGGGACATGGGTCCAGCCATACGACCTTTAACATACAATCTGTCCTGCTTATGCAATATGCAGGGCATGGTATGGGAGAGGGGCATGGAGATTGTGGGAGTGGCCAGCCAAAAACTGGTCCAACCTCAGACTGGTACCAAGAGAGTGAGTCCACCTCTGACACAACATGGAGTGCCAGAATCCAGAGGCTAGATGGCATAGAGACCTAGGATAGAACCAAACACAACTGGAGAAAAAAATCTCAATGCAATGATGCCTAACAATATTCTGCTATACTCATAGATTGGTGACTACCCAAACTTTCGTCAGAGAGCCTCCTTCCAGTAACTGTTGGAAACAGTTGCAGAGACCCACAATTAAGCATTAGGCCAAGCTCATGGAATCCTCCTGAAGAGAGGGAAGAAGGATCGTACAAGCCAGGGGTATCAAGGACATCACAAAAGAACCCACAGAAATAACAAACCTATGCCAGGAAGTCTATGTGGCACTGAGCTAGGCCCTCTACATATATCTGACAGTAGAATAGCTTAGTCTACTTGTGGGACTCTTAGAAGTTGGAGAAGAGGCTGCCCCTAATGTTTGGCTGGCTTTTAAGAACCTATTCCTCATACTGGGTTGCCTTTCCCAGTCTTAATACAAGGGGAGGAGCATAGACCTACACCACCCTGATATGCCATACATTGTTGACAGCCATAGGAGACCTGCCCCTTTCTGAACAGAAGCAGAGGAGGAGTGGACTGTTGGGGCATGGAGGGAAAGTGGGGAGGGAGACGGGAGGAGAAGAGGAAAGGGAAATTGTGGATAAAAATGAAAAAGGAGGAAATATGTGAATAGAAGCCAAATCACTAGAGTCAAAATCTGCTTGGATTGCATTTAATAATTTAATTTATCTGTATTATATCTTTTCCAATGCCTAAGAGCAAGTTCTGGAGTAGTGGGTCCATTGTGATGCTCCCTGGGCAAGCCAGTTTGTGGTATCAGCAAAGACAAGTATGCAACACATTATAAACCATACTGTGGGAAAGGACTCTTTGTTTTCATTTTTCATTGTGTAACATGAAATGTACTGTAATAACTGTATCTACTGCCTGACCAGCTCTGAAAATCCAGGGAAAAAAACAAGGACAAATAAATCCCATGGCAAACTCTTCATTTTTAAATTAAAGAATAACAGCCCCCTTTTAGATCTCTCTCTAGCAGCCACAAATTATGTATTTGCTGTGGCCTGGTAAGCTTTGCTGCTATCTACCAATATGATATCCAATTACCATTATCATGAGTTCTCTCCTTTCTTTCCTACCTTTACTGGAAGTCATAAAATGAACTACACAGAGGTCACAAGAGAAACATGATGCCATAGCATGGCAGCTGCCTGAGCTTGTCACGCTAAGTCTATTCCTGCAAGTATAAAACAGGACTGTCTTTTGTCAGTAAGATTGCTCAAAAGCCACTTGCAATTCATTCTCTCCTTAACACTAGATAAAGAATTCTCTTCCCTGTTAGGCATATGTTTACAGGCCAGATTCTTCTTTGGTCATTATTTTGTGTATTTTTTACTTTACACTATATCTTATATTATGAAATCTACCTGAGTGAAAGCTGTTGTACATGTGGCTTGCTGTATACTTGAAAAACAATTGTGACCATTATATATACAACACAGAACTGATCTTCACTAAAGTGGGATATCTTTACAGTGTGGCTGAAAATACATAGATTTTAGTGTCTGGCATGTCAATTCATGACCCCTTAGTATTTAAGATTAGAAGACCTGACAGCCTGGCCTTTCTGTGGTCTCTGCTCATTTCAGCTTTGGAAAGGGATTCAATCAGCTATATATCTTCCTTCACAGGTGAACAAAGTCCCTTACCTGTTGGGTATTAAAGACCTTTACAGAAGCCTTAGTGTTGTTTGTAAAGTTCCTATGACATATCTCTCTCAATAAGAACATGTTTTTTACCTGACTCAAATTGCTTCTACAGTGATAAAAATAAGATAAAACAAAAACATTGGAATTGGACAAAGCAAACAAAGCAGTAGGAAAAGAGCTCAAGAAAAGGCATGAGAATAAGAGACACACTCATTTGCACACTAAGGAACCCCATAAACTGGAACCCATAATGTATATACAGAGGGCCTGGCATAGACCTGAGCAGACCCTATATATGCTGTCACAGACTCTGTAAGTTCATATGAGCTATGATCATGTGGATTTACACAGTCCTGTTTTCCTGGTATGCTCTATCCCCTCTGGCTCTTACACTCTTTCTGCCTACACTTCTTCAAGTTTCCCTGAACTGCAGGGCAGGGGGGATTTGATGGAGGCATCCCCTCTTGGACTGAATGTTCCAAGGTCCCTCATTCTCTACATAACTTCTGGCTGGACATCTGTATGTTCCCATCTGCTGCATGAGAAAGCTTCTCTGATAATGGCTGAGGAAAAAACTTTTTTATTAGTATAGCAGAATGTCATTAGGAATTTCCATATTGCTACATTTTTAGAACAGTAATATTTTATTTTCCCCTAGGTCCCATACTATCTAGTTTCAGATTCTTGGTCACCCAACCAGTGTTACATATGGGTTACATTTCATGAAGTGGGCCTTATGTCAGATCAGACATTGGTTGGTTACTTTCATAAGCTATGTTAACTTTTTCTTGTCAATTCAATTCTAAAGCAAAAGTGACATCTTGCTGTTGGCTATAGTTTTGTTGAACCCAGTACTGTGCCTAATAAATATTATACAATTTATTGATTGCATAGCATAGCTGTTGCTCTAAAAGTCAATATACAAAGAAAATAACTTTAATTACTGGGAAGAAACTAGAATGATATTTTTCCAATATCATTTAGAATTAAATCATCATCAGAAAAAGTCTGTATTTTGAGAAATAATACATGACTGTGGGAGTGTAGCAAAGAAAATGTACTAAAACAAAATCTGGTGAAGAAAACTGCTTGAGTAACAACCCTGATACTATATTAAAGAAACATCTTGGTATAGATGCAAACAAGAGGGAAAGAGAGTAGTGAGTAATGGGACAAGAAGAGGAGGACAACAAAAAGAGGCTAAGACACAGAAAAGCCAACAAGGATATAGGTGGTATCAATAGTTTGTGTTTACAAAGTAAAAACAAAAATGAGAGATGTATAGAGTAACTAGGTGCCCCAACCAAGACAAGTGTGATAATTTACAGAAAAACACAACATATCAAAAAGTAGAGAACAATTGATCACATGATTGCCAGACCCAGTGGATACAGCACTCCTGTGGCTTGGGCCCAGGCAACATCCTAGAAGAGGGTGTGGAAAGATTATAAGAGCCAGAGGACCAGGAAACTGCTTTCAGAGATTCTCCTATAAATGACAGGAAAGCTTCATGAATGATGCCTCACCAATATGGCTACCTAAACAAGAGCTGAACAAGGGAAACATGCTAACCTTAAAGGGGGAAAGCCCTGGGGGCTCAAATTCTAGACAAGACCTACCAGTAATGCTGAGAGGGGGCGATTAGTCACGTCTGAATCATGTATAGACAAGCAATACTAAGTGGACTCTACAGATTGTATCTACATATTTATGCATATATAATAGTTTACATTAAAAAAAAACAAAAGTTTGTTGGAGTGTAAGTTCATACTACCTGGTGAAAGTTGAATTATTCCCTTCTTCCCAACCTTAGAGATGACTTCACTGAGTAGCATGAATTCATTTATTACTGGAGTGTTTATGGGAACAAACAGATGGTCTTGAAAAGGAATTTCTGTCACTTCTACCTACAAACTTCCAGTAGGTTGTGAGAAATCAACCATCCTATCACTGTATCATGTGGAAACTTACAACAGTTTATCCTTGAAAAATAATGACTGAAATGCATAAATGTGTGCAGTAGATAGAGAACCCACCTGAGATGCTCATAGCCAGGTTCTTGAGGAGCCTAGCCAGTGTCCCCCGACTTCTGCCATGTTAACTCTGCCCCCAAGATTAAGAACACTCTGCAGTAATGGGCAACATTACTTACCAGCTTCTCCAGCAGCATCTGGTATAGTCCTATGCTGTCCAAATCTATGGCAAGTTGTAAGTCAGTTACTGGACCTGTCCTTCCTTATTGGGATGATTAACCTTTCAAGTCGATGGAATTTATAATCACCATGAACCAACTTGTGGGCATGCCTGTAAGGGATTTCTTGATTAGGTTGAGAAATTAAGACTTATTCTAAATGTGGGTGGAACCAATCCATGGTCTGACATCTTGCATTGCATGAAAAGGAAAAATTACACTGAACACAGCATTCATCTCTGCTTCCTGACTACAGATATGATTGTGACCAGCCACCTCAAGCTCTTGCTGCCACGATTCCCCTTCTTTGATGGACTGTACTCTTGATCTCTAAAATAAACTCTTTTGTCCTAGCAACACATAAAGTAGCTAACACACTTATCCAATGTCAATCTATGACTGCTCAGGTTTCAGGGTAATAACAGAGAGGCTGGCAACCCACTGCAAAGGAATTGCCTCTTTTCAGAAACTTATACTGGTCTATGAAATAACATCCCTTCATTTAAATGAAATCAATGTGGATATGGCTCATTAAACAAAATCCCATATAAGAAACGGTAAATTTGGTAACAAGTATTTATTATAATAAAGAATTCACCATAGGATAGCATTAAATAACTAGCTTTCTGAGTGCACTTACATAAAGTCTTTTTAAGAGCACTGCCATTATAGAAAGTGAGCTAATATTTAAGCTGAATGTACAATGACTCTTTAGAGGAAAGAGTGCTTAACTACTGAGAGTAATTGTGGACTTGCTTTAAATTTAAGAAGTCTCTGGCCTCTATGGTGCCATTGTAATAATTCCTCCATCCTAGGCTTTGGCTGGGTCATAAGGAAGGACACAACTGGAAAAGAAGATAGCATCTTCAAAGGATGTAGGGACCATGAATACCTTCCAATCAGATTCCATGACTACATCAACTTAACTGAGATATTATTTATGCATCAGTTGAAATGGTCACTAGACACTTTTGCAACTACTCAGCAAGTGCTAGGAAATATTGAAATTGGAATTCTATCAATAAGCAGTCATTATAAATGTGAAGGTTGACTAACTACGGCGATATAAATCCTGTTGAGTTTTAATTGAGCAGTTTTGTTATGCTGCTCATGAAATTCAGCTAAGCTTGATCGTTTTATATTGTTCTTTGAAATTTAGCCAGGTATTACAGAACGAGTGTAATTTTTTTTCCTCCCATGAAGAAAAGCTTCTGTAGCAGGAAGGGATAGAGAATAAAATGAAGAAGGAAAAGTGATATTTTTCAAGGAAACTTACTTTATTTACAGTTAGCAATGTTAGAAAATTTTTCAAGTTTAACTTCCCCAAAATAGAATTGTCAGCATTAATATCTGTTTTACGAATGTATAAATAAATTACAAAAGCTTAAATTGTCAAATTTATGCATCTTTTTTTTTGGTTTTACGAGACAGGGTTTCTCTGTATTGTTTTGGAGGCTGTCGGTCCAGCCCGGCCTCGAACTCACAGAGATCCACCTGCCTCTGCCTCCGGAGTGCTGGGATTAAAGACATGCGCCACCACCGCCCGGTAAATTTTTGCATCTTAACAATAACATTGGTCAAAATAGCTGACCTTTGTTGAATCAAATTGAAACTATTTGATTCCACAGTCTGTTATGTGGACAGATACTGCTGTTATCCCCAGACTAATAACATATTCCTTTTACAAAATGAGGAAACAACACCAATACTTAAAATCAAAGTAAAAAACCAGACTGATTATTCAGTCTGAAAGTGTACATGGTTTGCGTACAGTCATTATTTTCCAGTCTTTTTAAATGTATATTATTCTCTTTTGTGATATACTTGTATCTTTTTACAAAAAAGAATTCATCCTCACTGGAGAAAGTGCAGAAATATACAGGAATATAAAACCCATGTATTATCCATTAGCTTCTTGATGTCTGACAGAAAATGGGCCAGAACCAAGTGTTATGTTTTCCTTTCCTTAATTACAATCATATGTTTAGAATTTTTTGACCATGTAAAACAGGACAAAAAGACTTCACAAAAAGACTTCACAAAAAAACTTCAAGGTTTCCACTGCATAATTTACCCCAAATTATGTGGCCATTAATTCTTGTTATAAATTTAAATAATCTCCAATTGTTTTTCACATTAAGTAATGCTGCTGTGACTACAATATTTCATACATCTTTAGCCCCACTTAAAATGATTTTCTTAAGAAAAGTTCCTAACAACTGAATCACTGGATTAAAGCACCTGAGAGGTTTCATAAGGTTTTTATGAACCAAATTGCTTTCCAAAATAATTGTACCAATTTACAAAACCACCTGCAGAGCCCAAGACTGATTCCAGTCATAATAAGGTCTTTACATTGATGAAAATGTACTCCTGCTTGTTATTATTTCCAAGGACGCTGCTCTTTCCTATGTAACACTTAACAAAATTTGAAGTAAGTATTTTTTCTCATTCAACTTGGACTTCTCTTATCAACTATAGCCCTGTTTTTGTAAAGGAAAATACAATTTTTCACCATTAATATTACCATTAATACAGGTCTAATGAGAGAAAATACCATCTCTGTCAATTGAATGGAGAAATCGGTTCCTTGGAGGGTGTGTTTCTAAGTGTCAGGTAACACAAATATTCAAGCAGAGATCTTTGAGATGGTAATTTATGCTTACCAATTTTTAAAAAGTCATAATAATCCAAGAATCATTTTCTGTGGTGTTCACCATGTGGTCTGAGACCAGGCGCTGGAGGGGAGGATCATGATGTCAATGGTTGAATTTGTGCATGATACACAAGGTGCTGTAGATTGCATGCAATTCTGAGGTGTAGTCAGGGAGTTTACACATGAATGGTAATGTGTGCCTTGTCTTTAAAAACAGAACAAGACCTGTTTGTTCCCTGGAGAGCCAACCTCCTCAAAGTAGCTTAAAAAGAAACAACACGTGAAATCACAGAAATATAAAAGGGACTTTTGCAAATGAAGAAAAAGACAAAAAAAATACCTCTCTATACAGGATGTTCCCACAAAGAACTCATTACTTTCTCCCACAGCACCTTCATGTGTAGATTCCTTAACTAGTTATCTGTGCAAAAGACCTTGGCTGATCCATCTTTGTTGTGTTCCTGTGTGATACTGCAGAGTCGCTTAAATTGAGCATAGTAGTGTAGCCACATTAAGTTCTATGACCACATCATGGTGGCAAACTTGGCTACATTCAGAAATAAGAATTCCCAGTTCGCTTGATGTCATAGCACAACCCCCAGTTTTCCTTGCTACAAAGCCTATTTTGAAAGAGGGAATGTGGATTACTCCCTAAAACCTGCTCCTTAATTTCATGTGATTTATTTTGGTTCCTGTGGCATCTCCATGGATCTGGGATTTGGGGTGCATGCAGGTATATGAAGCCTTTCCTTCATCCTACAATCACTTTGGTTTTGGCTTTGATGGCCATTCCCACTGAGCTGTATGATACCAGGTGAAGCCTACATTTCACCAAATCCCTGTTGCATCACACCACAAGGACTCTCTCCAAGTCCTGCCTACCTTCCTGGAAATTGGTTGAGACCAGAATTAAATAGCTTTAGCCGGCTCTCCCTGCTCCCAACATTCATCTAATTTATGACAAGTTATTATAAATCTTTTACTCCCATAAATGGGTAGTAGTCTCCCATAGCGAGGAGACCTGCCTCCCCCCACTGATCCCTGTGGAGCTTGGCATCAGGTTCTGACCTTGAAATGTCACAGAAGACTTCACTCTTTGATCAAGGAGAAGAACAGGCTTTTCTTCTCACTCCGTGTTCCCACAGGAACTCATGCTTTCATTATGTAACTTCAGTAGGAAAATACCTGAGCTAGATTACTTGGTTAAAGATGACAGACAAACCAATAGACAGACACCTAAATCCACCAAATTTATCCAAACCTTTGGAATTGAGGGACAAAACATTGGGGTGGATATGTTGCCAAAACAGAGAGACAAATAGGTAGATGTCTATAATTCTAACAAATTGAGGCTGAAGCAGAATGTGTTTACGTTTAAGACCTTTTAGGCGACACAGTGAATTCCAGGCTAGCCTGTACTAAGTAGCAGAATTTGCATGGTGATGGCAGGTGCTAGCAGGACACACTTACCAGATATGTATTTAGTTGGACCTGAGAAGCAAAGAAGCAAATGGACCAGTGATTACACAGACAACATTTGGGAAAACAAAAGCAAAAACAAACAACCAAACAACTACAAAATCAGATAGGCACCATCACCCTTGGAGAGAAATGATCAGTTAAGGGACAAGAGATCAGCTCAAAACTCAGACTCAATAAAATAATAAAAAGTAAACACAATAAATAGACATAGTTGTCTAAAATTACTTAACCAAATACATTTCTAACCACTTTCCTCCCAGAAAGACTATTTCTGGGTTGTAAATCTGGCTTTTGTTTTCAACATGCACACTTCAGTGGGCCATTTACCAGTCCATGCAAACATCAGAGATTCTTATAAGTCTGAAGCAGGCATGATCCTCTCATGTTCTCATGCCTGACCCAAAATGAACTTGTATAAGGTGTGTGAGTACGTGTGTCTGTCTGTCTGTCTGTCTGTCTGTCTGTCTGTCTGTGTCTGTGTGTGTCTGTGTCGATGTTTGTGTCTGTGTGTTTGTGTGGTTTATCTAAGCTGGGTTCACTCTATGTGACTCAACCTGGCCTTGATTTGGAGGTCCCTCTGCTGCAGTGTCATGAGTGCTAAGATTACAAGTGTGTGTCACCATGATCACGTACTTCCATAACATCTTTAGTGTCTATAAAGTGTCTGCCTTAGCCACCTTCATCATCTATGCTATTTTCAAGTGTTCTCACATTCTAATTTTCTTTTTAAATATTATTTATTCCCTGAGTTAAGATCTGTTTACAAGAGGGACACACTGTGGTCTGTGTTATGTCTAGACCACACTGATTTGCCTTATTTTTTTGAAATGAGTAGTATTTTAATCGTTTCTAAAGAAGACAATTTGAGAATTTAGATTTAAAAACACTACATTGAAGGTGTGTTTCACTAGAAGTGAAAAACAGAACAGAAAACACAATTTTTGGATCTTCCTCATCCATCAAAAGCTCTATCTG